TGTGTGTGTGTGTGTGTGTGTGTGTGTGTGTGTGTGTGTGTGTGTGTGTGTGTGTATGTGGTATTTTTACTAGAGATGGGTTTCATCATGTTGGCCAGGCTAGTCTTGAACTCCTGATCTCAGGTGATTCATCCGCCTCATCCCCCCAAAGTGCTTGGATTACAGGCATGAACCATCATACCTGGATATAACAGGGTGTTAATAATAATATAGTATGAAAACCCTGGGAATTAGATGCCCCCTCCTTTCCCAGGATTTGTCATTATTGCTGTTTTATTGCTGTTCTGTTTGCCTTGACTAATTTTCTAAATTTTCTTTTTCATGTGTGGCCATGAACATCTCTTTTCTATTAGCTTAATTGCCTGCTAATGCATGGACAGAGACTTTTTTAATGTCTTGGACCAGTATTTCTCTAACCATTTCTTAAGGAGCTCTATTTGAATGGAGGCATGCCTTCAGTGATCTTAAAGTTTACACCTCTACCTTAGCATCCACTTCTGGCTTGCACAGAGCCTGAATTACTGTCAGAAGCCAGATTAGGGTCTTCTCCTTTTCTGTGTGTGGCCTGTTATATTCCCATTAATATATCAGAGAGCTTTTCAAAGCCCCCAGTGAATATCTCATTTTTCAGAGTTTTTAAAATTTATTGGCCAATCATATGTTTGCTCCACTTGGTGTTACTGCCTCATACTGCTACAGTAGTCAACAATTTCCCCTGATTATTTTAGACAATTTTTTATGATAGGAATTTCATCATTTAGGGAAATCTGAGTCAGTTCAAATAAAACAAGGCTTTGTTTTTTGGGAAATTGCCAGACAGGTCAAATAGTAGTAATTCTCTTGGGATGGGTCTTTAGGGAACAAAAGTTATTTTTTCCCTCTCAAGTGTGTGCTTGGATGCTGGATTTCTCAGCTGCCATAATTTGATGTTACTGATTATTAAGAATACCACAAAGATGCAAAGAGAGATATGGGATGATCAGTGGAATTATTTAGAGTCTTTTCTACTCAATTAAAACATCACAAATATCTCTGTTCTTACTGAAACTCATTTTCTTTTTTATTTAATTTCATTTTCTAAATTAACAAAAATAATTATACATCTTCATGAAGTACATAGTAATGTTTCAATACCTATGCAGTATGGTGAGCCAATCAGGGTAATTTGCATACCTATCAACTCAAACATACATCAGTTATTTGAACTAGAAACTTTCAATGTCCTTCTAGCTATTTGAAATTATATATTATTGTTAACTGTAGTCCTTCTATGGTATAGAATACATAAACTCATTCCTTCTATGTAGCCATAATTTTGTAACTGTTAACAAATCTCTCCCTGTGTCTCTCTTCTCATCCCAGATAATATTGTTTACATGTTTGTCCACTCCAAATCTCATGTTGAAAAGCAATCCCCAATACCAGAAGTGGGACCTAGTGGGAATTCTTTGAGTCATGGTGGCAGCTCTCTCATTAAAGTCTTGGTGACGAATCAAGGTAATGAATTTGCCCACTTTTGAAATTAAAAATAATTTTTGCTGTTGAAATGTTTCTGATCATTGAATTTTTACAAGTTTTGGTTAATAATTTTTACAGCTATGAAAAATGTGATTTTTGACAATATTTGCCAGGAATCTTATTACTTGCATTTGGAGTCAATTTTGGAGACTTTTATTCTATCATTCTGGACATACTGGTTTCTGGGATGTGTTTCTGGAGAAAGTCAAGTGTCTTTAAAGAATCTCTACTTTTAAAGGACATTGGTAGCTTCAGATAACATTCTCTCTAAACTATTAGCTCTTAGGTTATAGATTCATTTCAATATGCCTTTTTATTTAGATATTAAAGATATGTATGACTCCTTCATAGTAGGATTGAGAGATACTGATGATACAACTTGAACACATCAATATCTCATTGTCTGTTTTGGATAAATCATTCATCTAGTCTATAAATATTTTATTCTAATATATTTATGATACAATAATTTTCACTAACTACATTTCTTTTAAAATCTCTTAAAAGATATTTTTGGTTTGAATTTTGGCTTCTTTTTGGGAAAATGGTATCTAAAAATTATGTAAATTATACACTGTGTATGCTCTAAGAGAGTCCGGGAAAAAAAAAAAAAAAAAACAGCTCTAACCTTGATGAGTCATATAAGTATCTGGGGATATGCCTCTGCTTGTCTGCTTACTCTGGGTTCTGCATATTGGTGTCAGATTAAAGTCATTGTGTTCTACCTTACATCATGTAAAGTGAGAAATATTTATAGGTAATGCTATTGATTCTCAAGAAGCTTTACAAAACTGATATGGAAGCATTTCACTGCAATATTAAGTTAGAATGTTGTGTATGCAAATAGATGCCCAAAGAATGTATGTGTCACATGCTCATAATTAGTGAATTAATCTTTTCATAGCTGTTAAGGAAATCTCTAAATTTACCTTCAGGATTTTTGTTTGAAGAAGAATTGAAACAAGTTGAGAGCTGATAAAGTTTAAATTGATCAAATAAAATTCTGTACAAGTCAAAATATATGTAGAAAATAAGTAGATATAGAATAAGATATAGAATAATTACTTATATTATTTTACTACTAGTTATTTAAGATAAATACATTAGATCTGAAAGCTGTATCATATATTTAATGAAACACAAATTGTTTATATTATCTCTGATTTTTAACTGCAAACATTCATTTGTGTAAAACAGTCTTATGATAATACTTATTTTCCATTTTACCTTGAATTTTTACCTTATATTTCCATATTTTTTGTCTTATGTTTTAGAGTATTAAGGGAAATTTGAACAAGCTGTGAGTGATTCAGCTATTCTCCAAAGTGGCACAGGTAAAGTAATCATGTACAACTGACCTTTAAAATGTAATACTCCAGTGATTGCCAAAAGGCCAGTTCGATGTTTTACTGTGCTGCTGCACTTTCACATGCAATAATCAAGAGTTGACATTTATGAAACTGCTGATGCACTGTGGTGACACCCTGATATCTGAGGTGTTATATGATTCTATCTTTAACATAGTAATGGATATGTAAGTGTATTAGAGGATAATACTTGGGAACTTTGATCAAAAACTTTTATCACTTAGTTAACCAAGTATTTAAAAACATAAATATAACTTTATAGGTATTTGCTGTGAATACACAAATTCATATTCATTTTCTTCAAAGTGATCATTTAAATAAATCAGTAAGAAAAATAACGCATAAAGAAGGTTGAAAACAAATGTAAAATAGTTTTTAAAATTGAAAACTTTTAACATGATTTTTCACTTTCCCTCTGTATCATTAAATATAATGTTTATTTAGCAATAAACTTTCACAAGAAAGCAAATGGGAGATCTCCATGGGCTGTGAAAAAAAAAACACCTTACTGAAATATTTTTATCATTTTTATAAATTTCATCTAGAAAAATTATTTCTAATATGGTCTGAAATTTTAAATAATTGCAATAGAGGATAAGTGAATACTATTTTAATATACATATTTATTTTGTCTAAAATATCTAGATTTAGAACATTTTCATTCATCAAATACATGTGCATAGTTTTAATCATCCTGGTGAATATCTTCAAGCTAAAACTTACACAGAAGATAACTTCAGGAAATGCAACTTTATCTAGTATTTATATCTGCATTTAATGGGTTCTTCATAAATTAGAATATCTGTTTTCAATTATTTATATTATAAACATTTCTCTCATGTCTAATATTTGAGACACTTATAATTAATAGGAATCATATTTTCAATTGGAATATTCTTCTGGAATTTAACCAAATATGTATAGATTTAATCACATTTGTTGCTTTAAATGTACTTTCAAAAATACGCAAGATGACATTTTATTAAATTTAGTAAACAGTGAAATTTACTGATGTCATAGAAAATATTTGTGAACATTTAGTTTTCTTTCACTCTCTGTTCCAGAAATTGACCAGTTCAGACATATTTCTGAAGAGATACCTACATAAACACACTTGCAGATAAATATAGGCCCACTATCAACATCTCAAAACTGACATTTGGGCAGTTACCTACCACCACACACACATAGACATGCAGTACTCCAGAAAAGAAAAAAAAAATGTTTTATTCAAGATACATTGTTTTATCTTGACTCAATAGCTATCACTGGAATATTTCTATTTTGTCAAGTGATACTAGAGATACTCTCACCTACTATGTTCTTTGCTGAAATAGCTAAATATCTGGAAGAAAGTTTGCTGAAGTGGTGCCCAGCACTAGGGTATGCTTAAATTTAACCTGAGCATATTTTTGAAAATTAGTGTGTGACAGTTAACTTGATTGGTCTGAAGGATGCAAAGTATTGTTCATGGGTATGTCTGTGAGGGTGTTGCCAAATGGAATTAACATTTGAGTCAATGGACTTGGAAAGGCAGACCCACCCTTAATCTGGGTGGGCACAATATAATCAGCTGCCAGCATAGCCAGAATATAAAGCAGGCAGAAAAAATACGTTAAATGGCTGGACTGGCTTAGCCTTTATCTTTCTTCCATGCTGGATGTTTCCTGCCGTCAAACATTGGATTCCAAGTTCTTCAGCCTTGGGACTTGAACTGGATTCCTTGCTCCTCATCATGCATGCTGATTGCCTGTTGTGGGACCTTGTGTTCATGTAAGTTAATATTTCTTAAACTCTCTCATACATTTTATATATATATATACATATATATGTGTATATATGTGTATACACATATATGTGTGTGTATGTGTATACACATATATGTGTGTGTATGTGTATACACATATGTGTGTATATATGTGTATACACATGTGTGTATATATGTGTATACATATGTGTATATATGTGTATACATATATATATGTGTATATATGTGTATATATATATATGTATATATAAAGTTCTGTCCCTCTAGAGAACACTGACTAATACAAAGTGCCAGCTGATAATTTTTACTGAATACCTGTTTTGTCCAAATTGTGCTGTATTTGTTGAGACAAATTGATAAAGAGAGGAAAGGAAACTTAGTAGATGTATGAAATGGCTTGTGTATTAGTGCCTTCTCACACTGCTATGAGGAAATACCTATAATTGGGTAATTTACAAAGAAAAGAGGTTTAATTAACTCACAGTTTTGCATAACTAGAGAGGCCACAGGAAACTTACTTACAATCATGGCAAAAGGCCTCTCTTCACAGGACAGTGGAAGAGAGAATAAGTGCTAGCAGGTCAAATGCCAGATACTTATAAAACAATCATATCTCATGAGAATTCACTTACTTATTGAAGCAAAAGTATCCTCCACAGAGTGGTTGTGGGCTCAATCAAGCAGCTCAAGAGCCATGGATATAGTATGCCTTGGGGTTTTATTGGACTAAAAGAATTTGGTAACATTTTTAGGTATCCTTTTGAGGCCTCTAATTGGTTGGGTTGCACCCTATGCAAATGAAGACTTGGCCCATGACCAATCAGAGGCTGATGTTTTATTTTCAGTTTAATTCCAAAAAGCCATAGGTTGGCCTTAGGCTCCCTGTCTCGAAATCTTTATGAGAGGAAGAGGAACCAATGATCTTTTTTAAAATTTATTAAGTTCTGGGATACATCTGCAGAATGTGCACATTTGTTACATAGGTATACATGTTGCATGATGGTTTGCTGCACCTATAAACCCAGCATCTAGGTTTTAAGCCCCACATGCATTAGGTATTTGTCCTAATGGCATTTCTTCTGTAATTGCTTCATCCTGATTGGAATGCCATCCCTAGTTTGGGACCATGAAACTCTTGTGGAGTATGGAACTGTTGCCCTGTTCTGTGTAGTAAACCCAGGGGGACTTCTCCATGGTTGGGCCTAACATAATTGTCTGGAACTGGCTGGTAGCTCTGCTGCATGATTATTTGGAGCTTAATAATCTCGGGTGAGAAGAAACAAATCTAGTTAAAAGATTTAAAAAACATGATCCAAACATCAATAGAAGTATAATTACTAACAATGGGCCGGCTAAGGGAAGAAGCCATGAAACCCAACTTAGTGCCCTTGACCAGAAGCCCCATGACTCAGACAATTATTGTTGCATTTTAGAGGCCTAGTCAGCTGATTTTTGGGCCTCATCCTTTACTAATTCTGATTGGTTGACATAAAAATTGCATTCTTCCTCTAGGAAAATACATAAACCACTTTTTTTTCAGCTAGGAGATCCAGTCTCCTTCTATTTGTAAAGCTACTGCTGCCAAGAGATCAACTTTTTGTAAGGTGATATTAATACTTTGAGTATTGTCTTCCAAGCTGTCTGAAAGATCCTTGCACAAATGTTAATAGGATAGGCAGGTTGCAAGCCTGGTAACTCCCATTCCTACACCTGCTATTATTCCTAGCTCTACCAAATGGGAGTTTTCCTTGTATGGTTTATTTGTGCCTGGTAGTTGCAGTTAAAGGTATAATGAGAGACTGCTTACTGGGAGCTATATTGATTTCAGGGGACTAAATGAGAATACAGGTTCCTGTCCAACAGGCTGGTAAGCATAAGTAGGAACTGGTCCCACACAGGAAAAAAGCTCCTTGTTTTTCAAGACAAAAATTGTTCTCTATGGTGAACATATGGGTTAGCTTGTTGTTTTTGCTTTTCCTAGTTGTTAAGGTTCCTGCTAAAGTAGCCCTAGTTAAAGGCTGAAAACACTTTGGGAAGTATCCTGAGTTGCCTCAGTGGTCTTGTTTTTTCAGTAAAGGCAGTTAAGCTCAGTGTCCACCAGCAACCACCCAGAGTTCATTTTCTTACTGGGGAACCAAAAGTCAACTAGTTGTCTGAGGATTAGTACAGTCTTCCTAAGGAAAAATGTAATACAGCTAGTGGGTCTACTCTGACACTATTTAGACTGTACGTCCTTTAAAGTGCCCTCTACTAGGGGTCATTGCTGTAAAAACTACAGGTTTTCTTAATGAAGCAGTCTGCCTAGCTTACATGATCATGTGAGGGGTTAATCTCCAGGATGTAGTTGTATTGAGAACTTTTCAAGGTTCCTAGGAACTAACCAAAATTTTGGCTTTTTAAAGATACAAAGTGGCATGTGAAATTTTAATTCTGCATGCATTGATATTGGCCCCCAAATGATTTTGAGGGGATGCAACCCCAGAAAAGTTGTTTTGATAGTAATGAAGGTTTACTTTTTGTTTTGTAACCTTTGTCATTTCCATGATTTTGCAGTCATATAAGTCATCAAGTTTCCTTAAATTTAAGGGGGTTCCTCCCTTGTGGTTATGGTGATAGGTCATTTTTTTCAGGGACCCAAGATCAGACTGGGATTGGATGGCAGTATAAACAGTCCTTTGCCAAACTGGTGGTATTTAACAGTCTGTTAAAAGTTCTTAATAATTTTCCATAATTCATTCATTTCCAGTATATGCAGACCTTGGCAAATCGTTTCCTGTTATTTTGCTCATTGAACAGGAACTTTAGGGGTTGGATACCTATACTGTCAGGAATGATTGTTATAAAAATGAATTAAAATGTTTTGCCTAATTATCACAATGAAAGTGATTCCATCCATTCAGAAGAAGGCAATTAAACTATAAAAATATAAAAATAGCTACTATTATCCAGCTTAAAGTAACTATGCATCAAAGACCCCAAATAGAGTTGGTAGGCATTTACTTATATTTTGACTGTCTTTTAAACAGGTACTTCAGGGTCTTCCACACATTCACTGGAAACTGGACTTTACCCATGTGCCAGCTTGCAGAGGATAAAAGTTTTTGCTAGTATTAATGGACACCTTTACTGGCTGTGTCAAAACTTAACCTACCAGAACAGAGAATGCTAATGAAGTTACAAAGGTTATCTTAAAGGAGATAATCACCCAGTTTGGGTAACCCCAAAAACTCCAGAATGATAATGGTCCTTCTTAAGACTCAGAAGTGACTCAAGGGATTACTAAGGCTCTTGGAATCAAATAGTATTTAAATTCAGCACAGGGACCTCAATCATCTGGGAAAGCAGAAAGGACTATTCAGACTTTAAAATGGCATTAGCTAAGCTATATCAGGAAACATCAGAGACTTGGGTCAGCTTACTGCTCATAGCCCTCTTAAGGGTCTACAATTTTCCAAGAGCAAAAAGTAATATGAGTCCCTATAAAAAGCTATACGAGTTCATCTTTAACTAATGATCTCATTACTGATCCAGAAATTGCCAGTCTAACAGAATATCTAGTTAGCTTGGGACAGTTTCAGTAGATTTTGCAAGTTTGGAACTCTATGACTCTCCACACCAGGAAATAACCAGCAACCCAAGATCAGGCCAAGAGATAAAGCACTTGTTAAAACATAGAAAGGGTGGTCACCTGTTCAGCAACTACAACCCGAATAGAAGGGAGGTTTTTTGGTGGTGCTGGCCATGCCTTCCACAGCCAAAGTACTAGGATTAGATAGTTGGATCCATTTTTCCAGGGTTAAGTCTGCAGTATCTGAAGTCTGAGATCTGAAACACAGAGCTTCCACCTGATCCTATGCATGTGGCAACTGGAACCTACCCTTCTCCTGGGTAGATTCCCCTCCTCTGAACTGATTCTATTAGGTAGGGTATTTTGCTTCCTGGATTGTTGAATACACACACTGAGCAAGCTTGGCAGATCTGCTTAACTGCCAAAGCCAAGTTAGGCCCAATGAAAGGCATGTTTACAATAGCAAGAGTGGCCTCCTCCCCACATGGAAAAAGTTATGCAGGGTTTTTGTAACTTTTCATAGAGCTGTTAAAGGGAGATATACTTTTGATTCCTTATATCATCAGAATCCTCATTTTTGTCCTCCTTCTTTATTAACTGTTTTTTTCTGTGATGTGTGTTTAGGTTCTATTAGGGAATCATAGAAGGGAAGCAGTCCTAAGATTTGTTCAGATTGCACACTCAAAGCTGCTGCTTTGGCTTTCTTATTGTTCCCTTGTGCTATAGGGATTAAGTCCTTTGATGCCATGTATAATGGATCATGGCTACAGCCTCTGGCAAGTGTATTGCTTCCAATAGCTGTAGCATTTTAGACCCATGCTTTATGAGGAACATTTTCTAGTTAGCGGTCCCCTTACTTTCCAAAGGATTGGTAGGAGGAAAGGGCAGCAGTCCCAAACTCCTGGTTCAGTCTGGTTGAGGTTGTGGCCTTGCTTAGACCTCCCAAGAAAAACCTGCCTATGCTAGCCACACCCAGCCTTTCAGATCCCAACCTCCTGGGTTCAGAGATCCATGAGGCAAACTTCTTCCTGGCTCTTTCCTCTAAGATATTTCCTATACATGAGGCTATTATACCCTTCTTGCTATGACTTTGTGGCTCTTGGGGTGGTAGTCCAGGGACCCTTGACCATGGTGCCCACAGGCTTATGCCTGTAAGGACATCCTACAGTATAAATACACAAGGCCAGTTCTCTTAGTCCACTGTGCTAGGTTATGTCCTAAAGGAGCCAGAGTCTATTAGTGGGTTCTGGAGGCTATAGGACATTTTGGTTTTTGTCACCCAAAATTTCCCAATCCAATTGAATGGTGCAAGAATCCAATAACATAAAATTTGTCTTGCCTAGGACTGGCTCTTCTCCATCTGGAATACCATAATCAGAGTTAGTCCAGGGCTCAAGTAGTTAATTACAGGCCCCACAACCCTAGGGGCATATTCCTATGATGGAAAGTGGGGTGGGGGAGAAGGCACGGTCCAGAGGGCATTGTTCTGACCTCAGCCATGTGGCCAGCCATTACCTTCTTTAAGATTTATATACTTAGAGGCGCTTCTCAGGGAGTTTTCTCTCCTAGGGTAGTTTTATGGTCAGGCCTATGTTAATCGAACTCTTGATAGGGAATATTGGCACCCATTGCCCAAGCCTCACTGTCCTAGTTCAAGGACATGCTGGTACAAGGCCACTAAGCCTGGCAGTCCTTATGTCCTTAAGGTGGCCAAAAAGGATATTAGAAAGTGAGGGTGTGCCAATGACACCACCAAGAGTGATTAAACCCAGTACATGTGGGTACCCAAAAGATGATCTTTCATCTAGGACACAGGGAAAGGTGCTGTATAACTGGGGGATTCCCCTGAGCTAGAAGTTGCAAGGAATAACCAGGGATGAGGGCATTCCTGTGTTCAGTTTCAGATGGGTGCTACTCTTCCCAAGGCAAAATCACCCTTAAAGTATATCCTGGATAACTGGATATGACCCACAGTCTTTGAAGAAGAAGCAGCTCATTGTTTTCTGCCAAATAGCATGCCCACAATATGATCTGCTGAGTGGAGAAACCTGGCCTCCTGAGGGAAGTATCAATCATAACACCATTCTACAATTACATCTTTTCGGTAAGAGGGAAGATAAATGGATTGACGTCCCCTATGTACAAGTTTTCTTTTCTCTAAGGGATAATCCTCAGCTATGTAAGCCTTGTAACCTATGCCCTACTGGCCCCTCCTCAGGACTACCCCCATTTCCAGGATAGCCTATGGCTCCTCCCTCCACCGATACTGACCAGGTCTCTTCAGCTCCTATAATCCAAGAGGAGTCAGGGAAGGCTGAAATGGCCAAGGCACCTCAGGCTACTAGGATGCCCCAACTCTACCCGCCTACGGGCAGGAGGAGGAGAATTTGACCCAACCAAAGTACATGCTCCCTTTTCACTTTCTGACTTAAAACAAATCAAGCCAGACTTAGGGAAAATTTCAGATGACCTGGACAAGTACACAGATGTTCTGCAGGGCCTGGGTCAGTCCTTTGAATTGGATTGGAAAGATATGTTACTGCTTACTCAGACCCTAACCAGTAATGAGAGAGAGGCTGCTCTAGTAGCAGCTCAAGAGTTTGGGAACACCTGGTACTTTAGTCAAGCACATGACCAAATGCTGCCAGAGGAAAAGGATAGACTCCCTACAGGTAGACAGGTAGTCCCTAGAATGGACCTCCACTGGGATCCTGACTCATGAATGTAGGGACCGGAGTCGTAGGCACCTATTGACCTACATATTTGAGGGATTAAGATGAACAAGGCAAAATCCCAGAACTATGCAATGTTATCCACCATAACTCAGGGGAAGGAAGAAAACCCAACAGCCTTCCTTGAGTGGTTAAGGGAGGCCTTAAGAAAGTATATGCCCCTGTCACCAGACTCCATGGAGGGTCAGCTAACACTAAAAACAAACTTATTATGCAATTATTAGTGGACATTAGAAGGAAGCTCCAGAAGTTAGCCCTGGGGCCAGAACAGAGTCTAGAATCATTACTAAATCTAGCAACCTTAGTGTTCTATAATAGAGACCAGGAGGAACAGGCTGAAAGAGACAGGAGGGACAACAAAAAGGCCACAGCCTTAGTCATGGCCTTCAGGCAGGTAGACCTAAGAAACTTGGAAAAGGGAAAGGCTTGGGTTAGCCACCAGTCTGGTAGAGCTTGCTACCACAGCAGCCTACCTGGACACTTTAAGAAAGATTGTCCCAAGAGGAATGGACCACCTCCTCATCCTTGCTCAATGTGCCAAAGGGATCACTGGAAGGCACACTGTCCCAGGAGATGAGGGTTCCCAGGGCCTTAGGTAGCTAACCAGATGACCCAACAGCAGGACTGAGGGTGCCCGGGGCAAGCACCTGCACAAGCCATCACCCTCACTCAGCCACGGGTAAAGCTAACCATAGAGGGCCAGGAGGTCAATCTTCTAGACACTGGTGCAGCCTTCTCAGTTTTGCTTTCCTTTCCTAGACAGTTGTCCTCAAAGCCTGTAACTATCCAAGGAGTCCTAGGACAAGCTGCGTCCCCATATTTCTCCCAGCCCCTAGGCTATAACTGGGGACATGCGCTCTTCTCCCATGCCTTCCTCATCATGCAAGAAAGTTCCATTCCCTTACTAGGGCAGGACTTGTTAGCTAGAGCAGGAACCATTATCTATATGAATGTCAGAGAGGAAATCTCTCTCTGCTACCCATTATTGGAAGAAAGGATTAATCCTGAGGTTTGGGCAATGGGGGACAATTTGAATAAAGCTAAAAGATCCCACCTCTTTTCCTAAAAGACAGTACCCCCCCTAAGACCGGAAACCAAAAAGGGGCTACAGGATATTGTAAAGAACTTAAAAGCTCAGGGTCTAGTGAGTTTCTGTAACAGCCCTTGTAATATTCCAATTTTAGTAGTACAAAAACCTAATGGACAATGGAGGCTGGTGCAAGATCTCAGGCTTATTAATGAAGCTGTGATCGCTTTATACCCAGCTGTACCCAACCCATACACCTTGCTCTCTCACATACCAGGAGAGTCACAATGGTTTACAGTCCTGGACCTTAAGAATTCTTTTTACTGTGTTCCATTACATCCTGACTCCCAGTTTCCGTTTTCCTTTGAGACGCTTTAGACCAGAATTCTCAGTTCACCTGAACATTGTTACCGCAGGGCTTTTGAGAAAGTGCCCACATCTTTGACCACGCTCTAGCTCAGGATCATAGTAAATTTTCCCATTCTAGTACCCTGGTTCTTCAATATATGGATAACTTACTTTAAACTGCTAACTCAGAAGCCCAGTGTCAGCAGGCTACCCAGGACCTCCTAAAATTTCTAGCCACCTGTGAATATAAGGTTTCCAAATAATAGCCCACCTTTGCAGACAAGAGGTAAAATACCTAGGGCTTGTCTCTTCTAAGGGCACTCGGGCCTTTGGTGGAGACCATCTGCAACCCATACAAGCCTTCCCCCATCCAAAAACCTTAAAACAGTTGTGGGGATTCTTAGGAATAACTGGTTTCTGCCGATTGTGGATTCTCAGATATTCTGAAATAGCCAAACCCCTATACACTCTGATTAAGGAAATTCAAAAAGCTACCACCCCTCTAAAACAATGGGACCATATAGCCGAGGCAGCCTTTCAGACCCTGAAGCAGGCACTACTGCAGACTCCATCTTTAAGCCTTCCTACAAGGAACAACTTTTCCCTAAATGTTATGGAAAAGTCAGGAGTGGCACTGGAGGTTCTCAGCTAGACTCGGGGGACTATGTCACAACCGGTGGCATACCTAAGTAAGGGAATTCATGCAGTAGCAAAAGGTTGGCCACACTGCTTGCGGATTATAGCTGCAGTAGCTATATTCATCTCAGAAGCTGTTAAAATAGTGCAGGGAAAAGATCTAACTGTATGGACTTTACATGTTGTAGCTAGAATTCTGGCCTCTAAAGGCTTATGGCTGTCCGACAACTGCTTACACAAATATCAGGTCCTAATTCTCAAAAGGACTGTACTTCAGCTGTGCCCATGTGCAGCCCTCAATCCAGCTACTTTTTTTTCCTGAGGAAGGGGCAGACAGAGAACATACTGTCAGCAGCTTATACTCCAGAACTATATGGCTCAGAAAGATCTCTTAGAAACTCCTCTAGCCAATCCTGACCTTAACCTATACACTGATAGAAGTTCATTTATGGAAAATAAAATTCAGAAGGCAGGATATACAGTAGTCAGTGATCAAACAGTTCTTCAAAGTAATTCCTTTCCTCCTGGAACTAGTGCCCAACTGGCAGAACTAGTAACCCTCACTTGAGCTCTAAAATTAGGAAAAGGAAAGAGAATAAACATATACAGATTCCAAATATGCCTACCTGGTTCTCCATGTTCATGCAGCCATATGGAAGGAAAGAGAGTTTCTAATCTCAGCAGGAACTCCCATTAAATATCATAAGGAAATTTTAGAATTATTACAAGCTGTCCAAGAACCCAAAGAGGTAGCAGTCTTCCGTTGCCGAGGTCACTGGAAAGGAGATGAGAAGGAAGCATAAGTCTCAGGGATATCAAGATCTGTTAGTATGTGTAGATACCTACACAGACTGGTTTGAGGCTTTCCCCTGTAGAACAGAAAAAGTCCAAGAGGTAATAAGAGTCCTGATTGATGAAATAATCCCTAGATTCAGACTCCCTCACTGTCTTCAAAGCAATAATGGCCCTGCCTTCAAAGATGCAGTGGCCCAAAGAATTTCCAAAGCATTAGGAATACAATATCATCTCCACTGTGCTTGGAGGCCTCAGAACTCAGGGAAAGTGGAGAAGATGAACGAAATTCTTAAAAGACACTTAAAGAAACTGGCACAGGAAATCCATCTCCCATGGCCTTCTCTATTACCAACAGTGCTCTTAAGGACTTGAAACTCTCCTCATAAAATAGGACTCAGACCCTATCAGATGCTTTATAAATTGTCCTTTCTTACCATCTTACTAATGATCTCATATTAGACAAGGAAACAGGAGATCTAATACAGGATATAAGCTCCTTGGCTAAGTACCAACAGGATCTTAGGACCTTAGCTGAAGGTCACCCTAAAAAGGGAAAGAAATCTTCTGCATTGGAGACCTAGTACTTGTTGAGTCTCTCCCCTCAGACACTCCCTCTCTAGGTCCATCTTGGGAAGCACGATTTTCAGTTATTCTGTCTACTGCAATGGCAGTTAAGGTGCATCTGACAATTATGTGCGTTGGGGTTGCTATTCTTGAGGAATACCTTTGTGGTGTTCTCTGTATTTCCTGGACTTGAAGGGTTGGCCTGCCTTGCTAGAATGGGAAGTTCTCCTGGATAATATCCTAAAGAGTGTTTTCCAGCTTGGATTCATTCTCTCCATCATATTCAGGTACGCCTATCAAACATAGATTAGGTCTTTTCACATCATCCCATATTTCTTGAAGGCTTTGCTCATTTCTTTTCACTTTTTTTTTTTCTATTTTTGCCTTCTCACTTTATTTCATTGAGTTGATCTTCAATCTCTGATATCCTTTCTTCTGTTTGGTCGATTTGGCTACTGAAACTTGTGCATGCTTCACGAAGTTCTCGTGTTGTTTTTCAGCTCCATCAATTCATTTATATTCTTTTGTAAGCTGTTTATTCTCATTAGAATTTTGTCAAACCTTTTTTCAAGGTTCTTAGTTTCTTTGCATTGGGTTAGAACATGTTCTTTTGGATCAGAGAACTTTGTTATTATCCACTTTCTGAAGCCTGTTTCTGTCAATTCATCAGACTCATTCTCCATCCAGCTTTGTTCCCTTGCTGGTGAGGAATTTTTATCCCTTGGAGGAGGAGAGGCATTCTGGTTTTGGGTGTTTTCATCCTTTTGTCCTGGTTTCTTCCCATCTTTGTGGATTTATCTATCTGTGGTCTTTGTAGTTGGTGCTTTTTGGATGGGAACTCTTAGTGGATGTCCTTTTTGTTAATGATGAAGTTATTTCTTTCCATTTTTTAGTTTTCCTTCTAGCTGTTAGGCTCCTCTGCTTTAGGACTGCTGGAGGTCAACTCCAGACCCTGCTTGCCTGGGGATCACCTGCAGCAGATGCAGAACAGTAAGGGTTGCTGCCAGTTTCTTATTCTGTTATCTTTGTCCCAAAAGGATACCTGCCAGATGTCAGCCTGAGCTCTCCTTTATGAGGTGTCTCTTTGGATATATGGGGATCGGGGAGCTGCTTGAGGAGACAGTCTGTCCCTTATAGGAGCTCAAGTATTGACGCCTGAGCTCCATTGTTCCTCTCAGAACTGCTGGGCAGGTACATTTAAGTCTGCTGCTGTGGAGCTCACAATTCCTTTTTTCCCAGGTTCTCTGTACTGTGAAGATAGAGCTTTATATATAAGTTCCTGATGTGCTTCTGCCTTTTTTCAGAGATACCCTGCCCAATAAGGAGGCAGCCTAGTCACAATCTGGTAGCAAAGGTGTTGCTGAGCTGCTGTGTGAACTTGCTTGAGGTTTATAGAGGTATAGTTAGGACTGCCTCAGTAGTGGAGGACTGCCTCGATAATGGCAGACACCTTTCCTCCCATAGAGCTGGACCATCCTGGGTCTAGCTGTGCTTGCTGTGAAACTCTAAATCCAGGGCATTTCTGATTGCTGGTCTTTGTAGGGGTGGGACCCACCAAGCCACATTACCTGGCCCCCTGTTTCAGTCCTCTCTTTTTCAGTTGAATGGGTGACTCTGTCTCCCAGGCATTCCAGGAGCAAGTTGAAATGATGCCCAGATTTGTGTGAGTTTTGTGTGAAGACCCACTGCACTGGCTGAAACAGCCATGCTGGAGACTCATGGCACTTTTCCACCTGGGAATCTCCTGGTCTGTGGGCAGTAAAAATTTGTTTGGAAATGTGATCACTCACCCTCTGCGTTTTCACTGGGAACTGCACTCCAGAGCTGTTCCTATTTGGCCACTTTTGAGGCAGAACCAGGAAAAAAGGTTTAATGAAGTCTGCAATGTCAAGAATGGGAGTTTGGTTAAGAGCCTCTTTTAACTTGGCAAATGTTCCCCTCATAATTAGGACCCACTCCATTGACTCATATTCTGTCCCCCATGTTGCTTTATAAAGGGACTTTTGCTATAAGCTTCAAATTTGGACACATATTAAGCAAAACTTGGCCATTTCCAAAAAGAGAACAAAGCTTTTGCTTGGTGCTGGGGTCTCCTAAGCCACATATGTCTTGTACTCATTCTGGAGTTATTTACCAGGTCCTGGGTGTCCAAATATAGCCCAAATATTGGACAAGTTTGAGGGTGATTTCCAGCTAGTTTTTGAACACTTTGTTTACCCTATGTGCCAGGAAATTCAAGGACCTAATAGTAACTTCATCAGACGCCTCCTAGGTTGGGCTACACACAAAAAAGTTATCTACATACTGGAGTGTACTCCTGTTTTCCAATTGTATAGCCTTCAGATATGTTTCTAAGGCTCAGGCAAAAATTTTAAAAAGGGAGCAATTTTGAAAGCCCTGAGGGAGTACTGTCCAGGGGTATTGTGGGTTTTCTCTCCTATTAGAATCTTCCCATTCAAAAGCAAAAAGGTATTGAGATTCTAGGGCCAGAAGGATAGAAAACAAAGGATCTTTTAAGTCTAGGAATGAGAACTATTCTGTGCTCCCTGACACTTGAGTTAAAAGAGTACATGGATCTGCCACTAATGAGTGGACTGGGATCATGGCTTCATTAACTTCCCTGAAATCTTATACCAAGTGATATTTCCCAGAAGGCATTAAAATGGGGTATTACATTACAGGGAGAATTGCAAGTCTTTAGAAATCCATAGGCAAGCAATTTCTTAAATACAGAAGCTAGGACCCTTCTCACTTCCAGTTTAGTTGGGTATCGTTTTCAGCCTGAAAAGAATTGGTGTCTTTAAGTATGTTGACTGGTACTGCTGTTTTAGCTTTTTCAGGTATCCCAGGATACAATGCTAGCTGGTTGACATAGTCCGGAGCATTCCCTGTATCATTGGCCACTAGCAATCTTGCCAGGTGGCGCTTAAGCTGTACCAGTGTCCATACTTATTCTGTGCAGGGATCTTGGTACAGGGGGATCCTCTCCATTCCACACCAAAGTAGATCTTCAGGTCTCTGGAGTACCTGCTACCCTAGATTAGCAGTTTGAACTGCCCAAAGCTTCCTGTGAAGAAATCTTAGTGCAGAAGTGTTCATTCCACTACATGCCTAAGCAGATCACCAGGTATTTGGAGTACTCAATCTCCTGAATTAGGAGTTTAGGTTGCCCCAGTATCCATGTAGTGAGCTTGGAGCTAAAAGAGTTTCACATCTTCACACCTAGGCATAACCCTGAGTGCATGGTGGCCACCCATTGATTCTCCGTTAGTGCTGGTGCTTGTGCCTGCCATTGGGGGACCTGTAGGTCAGGTCCTACCCATCATGGTCCCCACCCATCCAGTGCTTAGCAGGGAGATCAGACCACTGTAAATTACATACATCAGCCCATTTTCTGAGGCAACAAAGAGCTTTGGTGAGTAACGGAGTATCAAGGATATAACCACACATGGGTTATAGCAGGCTCTACTGGCTATAGTACCATCTACTGGCTTGTTGGTTGAACAGCAAAGCCAATATAAAACCTACCAAAAGACGTGGATAGGGGTATACTGTAGAAACAAAGACAAAAGACCCTACCCAGTATTCTCTATCAAATAGAGAAGAAGGGAAAGGGAAAGAGAAATATATATTTTAAATGGTATTATAGGGGAAAAGACAAAAAGAAAAATTTCTACCTGCACAAAATAATTTTGTTTTCAAAAATTTAGAAGTGCATGCACCTCCAGATAAGAAGGAACCAGGGGAAAAATTCTAGCATCATAAAAAGTCTTAATGTATGAAACTATGAAAGGAACACACTAGGTCTCCAGCAATGGTCTCTAACTAACATGGAAACTCATAAATGACAAAGAATTCAAAGCAAGGATTGTAAGGAAGTTCAATGAAATTCACAACAAGGTTGAAAATTAACACACATAAATTTCTTTTAAAAATCCAGGAAATGAAGGAAGAGATAAATGTTGTAAAAGGAAATCAAGTAGAGGTAGAGCTTCTTAAATTAAAAAACTCACTTAAGAAATTTTAAAATACAATGGAAAACTTTCTCAATAGATTCGATCCAACAGAAGAAAGAATTTCAGAGCTTGAACACTAGTCTCTTGAAATAACCTAGGTAGAAAAAAATAAGAAAAAAAAAACATTAAAAAACAAAGTATTTATGAGATATGAAATTATGTAAAGTTGTCAAATCTACAATTTGTTGACATTCCTGAGAGAGAAGCATAAAAGTAATAATCTGGAAAACATACTTGAGGAAATAATCCAAGAAAATTTTGCTGATCTTGCTAGAGAAGTAAATATCTAGATATAAGAAATCCAGAGAACAGCTGTGAGGTTCAATTCAAAATGAATATTACCAAGGCATATAGTCACCAGATTATTCAAGGTCATTGCTAAAGAAAAAATCTTAAAGGCAGCTAGAGAAAGAGGTCAGATTACATGCAAAGGGAATCCCATCAGACTAACAGACTTCTCAGCAGAAAGCTTTCAAACCATAAGAGATGGGTGGCCCATTTCTCTTTTAAGCATTCTTAAAGAAGATAAGTTTTATTTATGTCCCTGCAAAGAATGAAACTTATTTCTTTAAGAATACTTAAAAGAGAAATGGGCCACATATCTCTTGTAGTTTGAAAGCTTTCTCCTGAGAAGTCTGCTGTTTATTCCTATGTAACAATCCTGCAACATCTGCATATGTACCCTAGAACTTAAAATAAAATTTAAAAAAAGAAAATAAGTTTCAACCTAGAATTTGACATCTCACCAAAGTAAGCTTCACTAGCAAAGAAATAAAAGCTTTTCCGGGCAAATAAACACTAAAGAAATTTGTTACCCCTAGTCCAGTCATTATAAGATATTCTTAAGGGAGTCCTAAACATGAAAGAATGATACTTGATACCACACAAACACAAAAGTACACAGCCCACAGAACTTTTAAAGCAACCACATGATAAAAACTGCGAAGCAAACAACTGTATGATAGATTTAAAACCTCACATATTAATATTACTTTGGAATGTAAAAGGTCTAAATGCCCCCACTGAAAAGGTAAAAGAGTAGCAAGTGGAAAAACAGGATACATCCGTTTCCAATTGTTAAGACACCTATCTCACACATAATGACAACAAACCCATAGACTCAAAATAAATGTTTGGAAAAAGATCTATTGTGAAAACAGAAAATTATAATATTCAGGGGTTCCCAGGCTTACATTTGATAAAACAGACTTTAACCCAGCAACAGTACAAAAAGACACAGAAGGGCACTACAAAATGTAAAGTATTCAATTTAACAAGATTTAACTATTTAAAATATATAATAGTGAAGAACTTCAACATCTCATTGTGAGCATTAGACAGATCATAAAGACCAAAAACTAGGAAAGAAGTTCTGAACTTTATACAACACTTAATCAGTTGGATATAACAGACATCTGCAGAATACTCCACCTATCAAAGAATATACATTCTTTTCATTTACACAGGAAACACACTATAAGATTAACCACCTGCTTGGTCATAAAACAAACTCCAGTAAATTAAAAAACAAAAAAATCATACCAACCATATTTTCAGACCACAGAATAAAAATGGAATTAAATAAAAAGATCTCTCAAAACCGTACAATTACATTAAATTTAGGCAGCTTGTTCCTGATCGACTTTGGAGTAAACAATAAAATTGGACATACATAAAAAATATTTAAAATAAATAAAAACAGAGCACAGCAAGATCCCTGGAATGCGGCAAAATTACTGTTAAGAGAACAGTTCATAGTGCCAAAAACCTGCCACAAAAAGTTAGAAAAATCTAAAATTAATGATCTAATATTACACCTAGAGGACCAAGTAAAACCAGAACAAACTAACTTCACAGCTAGCAGGAAAAGAAATAGCTAAAATCAGAGCAGAACAAAATAAAATTAACCCTCCCAAAATTGATACAAAGAATGAATCAAACCAGAAGTTCTTTATCTGACAAAAATAAACCAGACTCTAGACCACTAGTTAGATTAACAACAAAAAGAGAGAGTGTAACCAAATAAGTACAACCAAAAATGACAAAGGTAGCATTAAAACCTATCCCAGAGACATACAAAAGGGCCTCAGAGACTATTATTAACACCTCTGCACATGCAATGTAGAAAATCTAGAGAAAATGGATAAATTCCTAGAAACAAACAATCTCCCAAGATTGAATCAGTAAAACTCGAAACCCTAAATACAGACTAGTATCAAGTAAAACTGAATCAGTTTAAAAAATAAAAAACAACCAAAAAACTCCCTGGACAAGATCAGTTCATAGCTGAATTCTGCCAGATGTGCAAAGAATCTGATACCAATTTTACTGAAACTACTCTAGAAAATTGAGGAAGAAAGACTTCCTGAACTCACTCTATGAAGCTAGCTTCACTGTGATACCAAAACATGTCAAAGACATAACAAGAAAAGCAAACTGCAGGCAAATAACTCTCATGAGCACAGATGTAAAAATCCTCCAGGAAATATTGCAAACTGAATCTGACAGCAAATTAAAAAGTTAACTTGCCATAATAAAGTAAGCTTTATTCCTGGGATGCAAGGTTGGTTCAACATACACACATCAATAAATCTGATGAACCACATAAACAGAATTAAAAACAAATATTATATAACCATCTCAATAGACATGGCAAAGCTTTCAAAAGAATCTAACATCCCTTCATGATACAAACCTTCAAGAAAGTAGACTTTGAAGAAAGATACCTCAAAATGGTAAGAGCCATGTATGACAAGCAAAGAGCCAACATCATAATTATCAGGAAAGACAGGAAAAATTCCCTTCAAAAACTAGTACAAGGAAGATTCTCTTAGCCAGTCTTATTCAACATAGTGCTGCAAGTGATCTCTGGAGCAATCAGGCATGAGCTAGAAGGCATTTAAATAAGTAAAGAAGTCAAATTATCTATCCTCATAGAGGATATAATCTTATACCTAGAAAACCCCCAAGCCTCCAATGATAGGCTTCCTGGAACTGATAAATGGCTTAAGTAAAGTTTCAGGACAAAAAAATCTATGTACAAAAATCAACATTTTTGTACACCAATAACATTCAAGCTGAGAGACAAATCTAGAATGCAATTCCATTTAAAATAGCCACAAAAAGTAAAATACCTAGGAATACATCTAACAAAGGAGGTAAAACATGTCTATGAGAACAATAAAACACTGCTACTACAAGAAATAATAGATACAAACAAAAGAAAAAACATTCCATGCAGATTGTTAGAACTGAAGTAGTTAAAATAGCCATACTGCTCAACGCAAATCACAGATTTAATGCTATTCCTATTAAATTACCAATTTTGTTTTTCACAGAACTAGAAAAATCTATCCTAAAATTCACCTGGAAACAGAAAAGAGTTCAAATAATCAAGACAATCCTAAGCAAAAAACAATGAAGTGGCCGGGCATGGTGGCTCACGCCTATAATCCCAGCACTTTGGGAGGCTGAGGCGGGTGGGTCATGAGATCAAGAGATCAAGACCATCCTGGTCAACATGGTGAAACCCCGTCTCTACTAAAAATATAAAAAATTAGCTGGGCATGGTGGTGCATGCCTGTAGTCCCAGTTACTTGGGAGGCTGAGGCAGGAGAATTGCTTGAACCCAGGAGGTGGAGGCTGCGGTGAGCCGAGATCAGGCCATTGCACTCCAGCCTGGGTAACAAGAGTGAAACTCCATCTCAAAAAAAAAAAAAAAAAAGAAAAAAGATGGAGATGTCAAATTACCTAACATCAAACTATACTATAAGGCTACAGTAATCAAAACAGCACAGTATTTGTACAAAAACAGACACATAGACTAAGGGAACAAAATAGAGAAGCCAGAAATAAAGCTGCACACATACAGCCATCTGACCTTCAACAAAGTCAATACAAATAAGAAACAAGGAGAGAACACTTTATTTAATAAATGGTTCTTGGATAGCTGGTTAACCATACGCAGAAGAATGAAAGTGGACCCCTATGTTTTACCATATACAAAAATTTACCCAAGATGGATTAAAGACTTAAATATGGGACAGAAAAGTACAGAACCTTAGAAGAAAACCTGTGAAATGCTATTCTGAACATAAGCCTTTGCAAAGTATTTATGACTGAGTCCTCA